TGAGGCTCGTCCAACTGCGTGTCTGGGACCCCTTGACTTTGGCCCCCTGTCAGCAGGTTCTCTGCTGTCCCAGGCCCCCAGGGCAACGACGAGCTTGTCGGGGTAGAGGTCAAAGTAGCCTCCCCTGGTTGTTGGTTCTCCGCTTGGCCTCCTTGCCCAGGGCCCCCCGGTTGTTGGTCCTCCGGCTTCACGTAGTAGGTCGACGGCAGCCCGGAACTCATCGAGGTAGAGGTCGACGTAGCTCTCTGTCTCTCTCTTTCTCTCTCCTTCTCTCTCACTCTCTCCCTCTCTTTCTTTCTTTCTTTCTCTCTCTTCTCTCTCTCTCTCTCTCTCTCTCTCTCTCTCTCTCTCTCTCTCTCTATTTATATATATATTCATATGGTTCAGCGTCGAGCGTCCTGGGCCCCCCCCCCCCCCCCCCATGTGTATCCCCCCCCCCCCCCAAGCCTTTGACTTACGGTCTAAAACCTAGACCCTAAACCCTAAAACCCTAAACCCTAAACCCTCAACCCTTAAACCCAAAACCTAAACCACTACACCCTTAAGTCTTAAACCTAAAAACCTTAAACCCGAAAACCTTGAAAACCCTAAAACCCTACCCTACAACCAACCCACAACCACACCACAGGGGGGGGGGGGGATCAGGGGGGGATCATCTTAGTACCACATCCGCGGGGAAAAAACCCTAAAACTAAACCCGAAACCTAACCCTCAAACCCTTAAAACCCTAAAACAGAAACCCTATAAACCCTACACCCTAAAACCCTAAAACCCTAAAAACCCTAAACCCAACACCCTAAACACTACACCTAAAACACACCCCAACCACACCACAGGGGGGGGGGGGGGGGGGGGGGGGTTACATTGGGGGGGGGGGGGGGGGGGGTAGGGGGGAGGGGGGGGGGGCCCGCCGGGGCTGAATCATATATATATATATATATCTCTCTCTCTCTCTCTCCCTCTCGCCTTTTTTCCTTATAAGGACTCGGGCTGACTTGCATGCTTTACCAAGTGATTCTGAAAGTCTTCAGGATCGTGAGATCGACTGCAAGGAGACAAGAACGCAACCATCACCAGACCCAGTACCAATACCCCTTCTTAAAGGCACGCATCCCAAAAAACCAACGCAGGGAGTCCCTGCCTTGCATCGACGCCATCGGCCTGCCACTGTTGTGCGAAATGAACATGTTTCTGATGTTTCTGTTTTGCTGCATGGGCTGAGGTCGGCGCCCCAGCACGTGATACTTAACGACCCTCCAATTCTGACACCCCATTCAGCTTAAATGTATAGGGTTTGGGTGCGGAATCTCTGTACAATCTCGACTCTGTACACTCCAGTTCATGTCTCAACTATGCTGGGGACCTCCTGGGGGCTGCAATCCGAAATCCTCAGCAACCGCAACACACCCCAGTGCGCACAGCTTGCCGACCAATGAAGCGCCTATTTCTCAGCAGCATCGCTTGCAGGTTGCGTGCCGGAGTTGTAAGCTGGAGGTCCTGCCGTGTCGAACCCGGTTTCAGCCTTTGGGTTTAGCACTCTGCCAGATGTTGGTTTGATTGGAAGATGTTTTAGAGAGTACACAGAGGATGAAAGCAGTGCCTTCACAACGCGCTCAAGACACACTAGCCATTACTAGCCATGAACTTTGAAGGGTGCTTTGTCCAACTCGCTGTTCGGTAGCTTCGCGCACGTCAAGATGTGTTCTGAAGCACGCCAGCCTGCCAGCGATGACCTTGCTGTTTCAGTCCGCGACGCTGTGATTTTGGTGTTGGCGTTGCGGGGTGTTGCTTCTCGGGTTGCCTGTTCCCTGGGATGGGGAGCTGCATGTTTCCCCTTGGTCGTGTGGAGACCTGCCTACAGAGTTGCTGATGCAATAGGCATTGGGCAAGACGATGGGTTAAGCGTGCAGAATGGGCCATTCCACGCGGTTGAAGTTTCGAGAAGCAGATAGCAGGCTTCATCCCGTAGCTGGCAACGAGCACCAAGAGCGCCGCGCAAAGTTCAACACGGCCCTCCTCGTCTAGCTCGACGACCGCGTCGCAGGTGAGCCTCAGTGGAATCGGGTGAACCGAGTCAAGATTCTTGAGTCAAGATTGCAAGGCTGCAACTGCTGCAACACCTGGGCCCTGAACTGCAGGAGAGATGAAGCAGCTGTGAGTTCGGTGGCAGCCTTGCCATGGCAAGTAAGAGACTTCATGCTGCACCCTACCCCCACAGGGCCACCAACCCCCCCAACTCCCACATCCAGAATCTGACAACACGAACGAAAAAAAAAAAGCCCTCAGTCATGAACCCAGCCAGAGGTATGCACGGAAGCTCCAGAAAGCTCAGGTCACTCCTAGAGATCCCAGCTGCATAACTTTCATGTGCATTGCTTAAGGCCCCCATCCCACGCCCTTCTGAGCCAGGGCCTTGCTAATCAGGATGCCCTGCTGCACTTGGTTGCGCAGCGACCATTCCAGGGCCTGAGCGGGACATGGATAGAGAGGATCACAAAGGGACTCTCAAGAGGCTCTATTTTCTGCGCCAAGCCCTCTGGAACTGGGACCAGAGCCCGCTTCCGAGGAAGCAGCGCGTCAAAAAACAACACTGTAAGAACCGAAAACCAAAGGAAACACAGGGCTGCTTCGTTGAAGACTTGGGCACATAGGAGCCCATGGACACGACCACCAGGTTGAAAACCTGGCAGACGGAACTTTTCCCACTTGGCAGAAACGAAATTTCTGCAGACCCAGCCCTTCGGCAGAGAGACACGTCCAGACCCTCCCCAAACCCTAACTATAGCTAAGGATGCACGGTGATCGGCTGCGCTCTGCCTCCAAGAACACGGAGTTGAGCTTGTTGAACTGGAAGTCGCCTGGACGACAGGGGGACTCGGAACCTGAGGGAACAGTGGGTCAATGTGTTTTGCGCTGCGAGATGAAGGTGCTTACAGCAAAGACTTGATGTAAACAAAGCCCCTTAGACATCTCGCTGCGCACATAAAAGGGGTGGCTTCTTATCAGCTTCAAGCCCGCCAAACTCTGCTTGAGGGAGGTGGCACAAGACTCGTGAGCTCCTGAACAAGGCCGGAGACCATGAACGTTGGAGATGGAACCGATTGGAACAATCCCCACCAAAACCTTATCCCCACAACAATAACGGGCCGAGGCACAGTCATTAGTCTGCGGGTATCGGTTTCGGAAGATCCGTAGCAGCATCACCACGAAAGGTACCATGTTGCACAGGGCCACCAGCCATGGACGTGTGCACACCAGAATGGCCGGCAGCCGGTACACCGCCAGCATCAAGACAGACATGTGAACAGCTTGAGGCATCGAAGTGACAATGGGCGTCGTGATCATTGTCGATAACGTCATGCCGACGACATACCATGCATCCAGAGCACAGGGGTGGAGAAGGTACGGAAACATGAACCAGGCCCCGAAGAAAGCGAAGCAGGCATTCCCCAGCCATGCCATTGCTGGTGACATCCACCGCACCGATCCCGCCAAGATGTTAATCTGAGTGGCGGTGTTGATGATCAGCCACATGACAAGCATGCAGTTGTTTACGGAAAATGCCATTGCCAAGCGCCTCCCACCTCAGCAGACCGCGGCAAATGTACTTCGAAGTGTTGCAGGAATCCTGCTTACGAGGGTAGAGGCCGTTTTTCAAAGAACTACTGTTCGCAAGGGTTCATGACTACAGCAGCGGTGACATCAACAGATGAGCCCTGCCCTACCCGCCCAAATCCACCCCTATGCTGACACTTCTGTTCCCAGGTCCAGGTTGCGAACTCGGTCCTTAATGATCTGCTCCTCCTGATCGGAACCCAAGATTCTGATCCCTTACTGCCCCCAGTCCGTGGACGAGCTCCCAATTTCCTCCCGAACCCTTTTGCTGGTGCCGGCTCCTCCTGGCTGAACTTTGCTGGCCCATGCCGCTTCCGGCATGACAAGCCTAGGCATTTGTGTGGGGGCTTCGGCGAGGTGAGTGGACCTTGCTTCCTTTGGGGACATGTCTTTGTGCGAAAGCGCCCCGAAGCGGGGGCTTTTTGGGTTGTGGGGTCTTCGTCAGGCGGGAGGCTTTAGCAGGTCCATTGAAACCTTGCGTCGCGAACTCGCATGCGCCCCGGTATGACCGCGGCTTGAGATTATAAACCCAAGAATGAAGACTTGCTCAGCAGCGGCCGCGAAGCAGGATCCAAGCCTTGTGGCAAAGTTTACGATGTCTTTCCGGCGCTGAAGGGCAACCCAAGCAACCTGCATCGCTTCTTGCATGATGGCGGGAGAGGGGGGGGAGTGGGGGCACATATGGGCACATCCCCGCCCCCCAAAAGTTGTTCCGAGCAGAACATGGAGATCTAACGATTGTTCATTCCCAGCCTTGAGGAAGCACATGACTTGCAGCGCAATGTAAGTGAAAAGCCAGGACTCCTCGTGCAATGCATCCGGCTCAAGCGAAATCTCCATGGCCAGGAACAGCACGAGGATTTGCAGGTCTAGGAGTCTAGGTAGACTTGAACAAGACGTAGCCTTTGTCATATTATTGTAGACCTTCTTGCCCTGCAAAATTCTGTTTTTCTATACGCTTGACATCTCAAGTGGTTGGGATCGGGGCCACTGCTTGAGAAGCATACAGGTCTAGGCCCTTTGGCCTTAGATGGATTTGTGGGTTTTCGAGCCAAAGGCAATAAAAAAGCCGGCCCATGGGTGGGAACCCTAAACCCTTTTACATCCAGGCCTCTGATGTCTGCCGGTTGCCCTAAACCCTAGCACCCTAAACCCTAAAACGAGCCCCTTGTGCTGTCCAGTGCAGCTTTGGGGGGCTTAAATCCATAGTAGTTCAGGGTTTCGAGTCTGACAAGCACGATCAAAGACCATGACCGGGAGACCTGGGTCTACAGTTCGGGCTTAGGTGCTTCGGTTCCTGGCGCAGGGCACTCGTAGGACCATGCAAGTGTGAAGGTTGGTGGCTCCGTTATCCAAAGATCCCGGTTATAGATCTGCACTTGCACCTTCAGCTTCTGCTGGCCCACCAATGTCAGCACCTGGGGATATGCGATGACTTTAACGGTGGAGCCACCGTGGCTCTTTTCGGTTTTCCTTTCTTTCACGGGGCTGCTCTCGATCCCTCTTTTCCACTTCCTTTCGTGACGTTAGGAAAGTTTAGAGGCGCGGGGCTGTCGGATGAAGGCCTGTGTATATTGGGATTGAGGATCGGTGCTTTCAAGCTTGAACAGCCAGGATGCCCTCTTCATGTGGTCGACCTTGGCGAGGAGATCGTCCACAGCAGAGCCGAACCTGAATTCGCTTCTATTTTGCGCTGATTGGACCTCAGAGCGCCTCCGAATAAACATGGGACAGAAGAGATGTTGTCTTTGCAGCCCCAAGATCAAAGGAGATGCCACAACAAATGCACCTACAGGGCGATTTTGGCGGGGCCACCTCATACCTCTGCTGCCTGATGCGACCCTAAACCCTGAAAGGAGAAGTGACAGCCAAAAGAGATGCTGAACTCTAAGCTGACATGGTGTCAGGGGAATGCAAAGACACACTAATTTTAAAACAGCCCATCCTAAACCCTCAACCCTGTGAACCGAACCCGTTTCTTCCGTACTTCAGCTGAGCAGAGCGATAGGTCAGAGTCATAAGAGTGGGTCTGAGTGGGTCTCTATCGCATCTTTCCGTTTATGGGCTCAATTCAGGGGTACTGGGCTTCTCTTGGGAATTTCTGGCCAGTGCAAGCCAAAGCAGCGGAGCCGTTTCGTCCAGGATTGCCTGACATCTCAACCATGCCCTAGATCCCCAACCGCAACGTACAAACCCGAAGTCCCGAAAATCTCCCCAGGACTAAGCACCACCGGAATACGCAACATCCGTGCTGAAGCCAGCAGTTTTTTTTTGGCGACATTTAGAGTCTAGAGCCAACATCCCCGAGCCCCAGGCTCTGGCCTCAAAGTGGCAGGTCTTAGCCGTGGTCTTGGAACAAGAAAAACCACTGAAACGCAGGGTAAATAATCCAATACTGAGCCGTGGGGCCCGGATGTCCGTCATAGCCTTGCTGTCGACATCTAGAAGCTGCTGAAGTAGTGCGACTCGCTGGATGCCTCTGGTGAGGCAGTGAGGCACCGCAACAAAGCGGTGTATGTGAAACAGGGTTTATATTACTGTTATTGGCGAGTGTATATAAGGTTCCTTTTTGACATTGGTGAGTGTATATTGGTGTCCTTTTGGGGATACAAGAAATACCGTGCTTAGTACAAATCTAAGCTGTCTCACCTTGATATGATTCACGACCTCCGGTCCGCAGTACAAGAAATATGAACCCTACTTCACATCTTTCCGCTTGAGCTAGCTGGGCCGTCAGAAGGACATTCGGTCAACGAAGCAAGGACGCACTCCTGCCTTCATCACCTGACAAAAAACCAAAAACGCCCACCCAAACAGCCCGCCTGCATCGATGCCAAGGAAGAGGGGCCCAGAAGGTGAGCCGTTCAGGGCTTCATCTGCCATTGTCAAGCCTTGGAGCGGCTTCTCGCATGCTGTCCAATTTCCCCTTGAGCCTGCCGTCGGACAGGAAGGATGATGTTCCTTGTGCCGCGGCTGTTACACTGTTTTTGCCTAAAGTCCACAGGCGAGTTGAAGGCAGCCAAGTGACTGTGGCACAGGACCTCCTGGACAGCTACAGTGAATGTCTCCGACCTCGGCATGCCGGGGTCTTTCAATGCTCCTAGGAGTCCCTGGGCTCCTGCATCTCTCCACTTAGGTTTTGCATATCAAGGGTTAATTATGTGGCATTATCTGGGCCAGAACCCTTCTGCGGAATGGCAAAGGCACGACAAGGCCCAGACCGAGTGTACACCACAAACACGGCCGCCACTCCAGCCTAAGAGCCCAGCGTTCCGGGCCCGTATTTGCTGGGTTGTGCTTTAAGCGAAGGCCTAGGGTCGAGGAGTTTGAACAGCAAGAGGAACAGACATTCACCAAGTAGAGGCCCAGGGGCGACGATGCCAATTGGCACCTGGAGAGCACACTTACGCGAAGCTGAAATTCTGGTTGGGGGTGCAGTTCCCTTATCACATGCAGGCTGCGCAAGGAGTAAGGACCCCGAAGTGCCATGAGGAGAAGAGGAGAAGACTGCTTTGGAATCGAATCGTCGAATGGCCGCAAGCTTACATTGATGCTCACCTCACCTCTTTGTTGCAGAAAGAACCCTGTCCATGAGCCAACGTAGCCAAGTGTCCAGGCACGCAAGCGACATTTTCCTGAGCTTCCCCAGGCGTTATCGGCACCAGGCTTTTTATGGGGTCGGGCAATCTTACCGGTGTGACCCATGAGTCCAGTATTGATGGTTTGGCCTTCGGGATCGAGGATTGCCTGCAAAAAGAACCAAGCTCGGACTCTACGTCGCTGGAGCCGAACAATCTGACAGCAGAGCTCAGAGCCCAATGAAACACATCTTGTGCTTGGGCAGCGAGTGGAGCTAAGGGTTGCCTTGTGCTGCTTTGCGGCTGCCACAGCCGCACGCCGTAGGGTGCTTTCCGCTCTGCACACAAGCAGCCTTAGATTGGGGCCCCGGGTACATAGCCCTGAACGCGCTGAACAGGCAACCTTAAAGTTAGCCTAACTTTACGGTTTCAGGGTTCGAGCTCGACCCTACATCCTGAAGCACGGCCATGGCGCATCTCCGGCAGCAGCGGCACATGGCAGTGCAGCAGCACATCTGAGCAGGGCAAACCAAAGATTTCAGGGAGGTTCAGAAAGCATTGCTAGGGTTCCATATGCCACCATCGGATTTGGCATGTAGAGGGGGGTGTCTTGGGCTCAAGCCCCCCCCCCCCCCCCCCCCCCCCCCCCCCCCGGCCCGTCAAACAAAGAGCTCCAGCGGAGAATCGGTGCTTTCGTTTTCATCCCTGCCTGCCAGATAAACATGAAGAAGAGGCCGGCCATGATCGGCGAACCTGCGATGCTCAGGCTGGGCCCTCCGGATCCGCGCTTGGGGTGCGCTCTTCTGGCGGGCGGACGTCTGATTCTGCATCGGGCGGGCTCGGAGGGGCGGGCTCGGAGGAGCTGAGATGCTTGGACGAGTGAAAGTGTAGGCGCTTAGGCTTCGAGGTCCAGGGGCTCTGCAAAACTGCAGCCGGGCAGCCGAACAGCAGCAGGCTAGAGAGGTACTCCTGCAAGACATTGTTGAACAGCAACACGCGGCATCGAAAGCAGCGAAAGCTGATAGCCTAGGACCTGGCCTCCAAAAGCCTTTGCGCCCGTTCCGACTACATTAGGCATCAGACGTATCGATGTCGGAGAGCCGCGAAGAATTCGACGGGCATCGCCAAAGCTATGGCACAAGTAGAAACTCGGGAAACCTGGGCCCCTACCAAAGACCGCTAAACGGTCTGTCAGAGGTATTCGGGTTTCTGCAGGCCCGCCTCCAGTTGTGCACTGCATTCACCTGGCACTTGGCACTGAGAACGTGGCCTAGAACAGAGCAGGCTAGGTGCGGATGCTGGGATGTGCAAAGAGTTGTTTTGTTGAGGAGATCAGGCTGCTCGAAAGAAGCCACCATGCCACCAGGTCCCAAACTTCCCTCAAACCTGCCTGACATAACCCAACTCCCAGGCCCCCAAGCGACTCCCCTTGAAGGCTGCTCCCCCGACATCCGAACGCCCGAAGCCCCTTGGCCGCCCACTGGACGTGGTAGCCTCGACCTCGGGGGAAACATTTAAACATGTTTGAAGTTGCTTCTGGGCCTAGCTTCCCCAGCACCGGCAACTGCTAGGAAGGCTATGGAACGAATGCCTAGACCCCTCATGCACGCGACCCCCAGAACCACGAAGAGTTGATATATCATGCATTTTCATGACCTGCCTCTGCTCCCAGGCCCTTGTTACCACTGATAACCTCCATCTCTGACACCAAAAGCGCTTGGATTAGCCCTTTCTTGCGGTCGCAGTCTCCGCTTGGCAAAGTCCATGAGATTTGCCCCTTGAGCTGCCGATGATCGCAAGGTGTCGTAGACTAGGGTGCATCTGGGCACTCCATACAGCAGCTCTCAGAGATCAAACAGAATCAGACACGACCGGACACCTCACTGCATTGGCATTGCCCAAGAGATGGATCTACATGGCGTGCGTTGTGCATCTTTGCAAAGTACGTGGGCTGATCAGGCTATAGATTTCCTGAAGCAAAATACACGTGCAACTTCATGTGCACACATCGTCTCGAATCGTTCTCAGACGATGCTTGAAGCACACTATCTGGAGCGCATTGGCCCGCGCTGTGAGATCCAGGGGGGGGGATTTCCCTGAATCCTTGGAAGACACCTGGTTCCCTGATACTCTCCGAAACTCAAGCAGCTCCGACGAGACAGCGGATCCCCCAATCGCTTTGGCGACGATTCTACCTCAAGAAGATGTATACCTCTCATGACTGGGGGCTGCTAGCAATAGGAATGTGTACGACTTGCGGAACATAAGGTGGAGGGTGCTATGATATCGGAATATTAATGTTCGACTGCGCAATCCCTGGTCCCATCTCTAATACCACTGCATTGGGTACTGCGAATAGGGAGTCTGGCGCTGGATTATCTACTCGTCTGATGGAGCAGCGGGCAACCATGATCAGCGAAGCTGGTTCAGCACAAGTACCTCAGCTTTCGCTTTCGGCTTCTGGCTCCAGGCTGCAAAGCTGCCATACCTCCCCTCTTCCGCCTTCCGAAACCAAAGCTCCTACAAGGAGCAGAATGAAAAAACAGCTGCGAACCATAAGCCCTTCAATGTATGCCAGGGGGCTCCCACAAATGCCAGCAACCCCGGCTGTGCCCAGTGGCCGGCATTGATCACGCCTTGGTTCAAATTTGGCGGGATTTGCTTGGGGAAACTCGCCGCCTCATCCTCGATGATCCAATCTAAGCAAAGGGCTAAATACGTAACCTACCTTTGACTACTCAGGTCACCTTGTGAAGATGTGCGGCTGTTTCTGCTGACATTCCGCTTGCACAAAGCAGGAGCTTGCTCGGATAGATATGGCCGCACGTCTCATGAGAGCTGAACGCCAGACAAATCCACAACCACTTCAAGGATCTCATCCACTGTTTTTCACTTCGGGTTCAAGAGTGCCGCTCACATTCTGCATTGGTGTGCGATGGAAGACAGGTGCGCGAGCTAATGAATGCCGATTGGTGTAGGTCCTGGCAAACAACACGCAGAAGCAAAAGCGCCTGCAATCAAATACTGAATCCTGAATCTGAAAGCCATGTTTAAGCAGCACTTCATTCAACCGGGGTGCTGCCGCCACCGGTGGTCGTGGTGGTGGTGGTGCTGTTGCCATCACCCACGCTCGTGATGCCCATTCCGTCGCACACCGAACCCTTGCCTCGGCAAAAGCTCCTGAGCCCCTCTCAACACATCCATGACCGATGTTTCGGGGACCGTTTCGGTTCAACAGCCCGGTGATGCAAGCTCCAGTGAAAGATTCCGGTCCCGACTTTGGGACGGCCGTCTTCGTGAATCAACGGTAAGCACGGCATCCGGCATTGCGCCATGATTTGCAAACGCACTGAAAATAACCTTTGGTAGCAGAAACCCTTGGTTTGGCGTTAAGAGATGTTAAGGGCGTCAAGTTGATCGGATGAAGGGTGGGCCTTCAGCACTCTTCTGTGATATTCACACGTTCAGATGTCAAGGTGAAGGAAGAAGAGCAGGGTAACACCTCTGAGCGCACGGGGCGCGCATGCTGGAAGGTTTTCGATACCGACATATTCCGGCAGGTGAAGACCTTTCAAGCAATCCACAAACAATGTTGGGCAAGAGTTTCCTTCGGGTTCGGGCCTAAACGGTCATCATCCTGATGCGTGCTTGCTGCAGGGTTTATGGACAGGAATTTGGCCAGCTGTAACTGCCGTGCATCTTTTGTGGGGCCTTTGGAGTTCCTGAGGCGGCTGGCCGCACCAGCCCGAAGTGGAGTTTGACCAGACGCAGGTGCCTTGAGGCGAATCTGGGGGCAAAGTGCAATTCAAGGACTTGGGTTCAACACTTCAAAGGACACGGGGTACAAAAGAAGCCCTTTACTCATCCCTGTGCGCATCCAAAAGGTGGCTGAAGCCCGTGGAACCCCGAATCCACCTACACTCGGCGCGTGAACCTGATTTGTCACTAGGTTTTTTAAAGGCTGGAAACCCGAAGTCCGAGTGTGAGGAAACCTCAGCCCTAGCCGGAAGCTGCACATAACAGCCTCGAGCAGCACAGCCTTGCAGCAAAATATGTAGTTCACGCCTGTTGCAGCTACTGCACTCGACATGATGGCCAACACCGGCTGACACACAAACACACATTATTGCGTGAGTGCCAATTGACTGCGCACAGCACAGCTTCAAGCCATCTTTGACCAGGAGCACTCAACATTACCCAGCCAGTGGGAGGCCTTTGACATGTTCAAGCCGCCAAAAAACAAAAACAGATGTCCCGACCCTAGTAGTTTCCGTTGCTGGAAATGGAGGTTCAGCATGGTGGATG